TATGTATATGTGTATATATATATATGTGTGTATATATATATATATATGTATGTATATATATATATATATATGTGTGTGTATATATATATGTATATATAATATATTATATATAATATTTACACACAATATATACACACAGTAGGTGTGTATATATATAATATAATACATATATATAATATAATATATAAAGAAGTATTGCATACATAAATGAAAATACCCATACTCCTATCCATTGACTGTACTCTGTGCAGTTGGTTGTTCCAAGGACAGTATATATGATTGTTTGGAGTGAAGTTGTAATATACAGTATAATATAAACAGTTTAGTTTCAGGTCTGATGTTGTTCTAAACTAATATCATTTTTATATGTGTTATTACAGAAAGTAAAAACTACTTTATCTGCTGTAAGAAATGCAGCAACATCAGCAGCATACACTGTGTGTATTATGACTTATTAATATTCCCTTTGTGGTGTCATTCCACAAAGTGTAGTGCAGACAGCCAGTCAGTCTCTTCAACTAAAAAGAAGTACGTTCCTGTTCTGCCAGGATCCCTTGAACCCTTAGACTTCACCATAATCACCATTCCATGATGGTAAGATAATAATAAAAAAGAAACTCTGTCAAGACATGGAAAAAGCTACAGCTACAATGGGATTCTGTCATCCTTTCACTTTCCTCCACTGCTCCATCTACAGTGGACGCAAACATGCAGGAAATTCAAACCTCCCTGGGCCTTAAACGTGCCCTGACGTCAGAGTTGCTCCAGTCTTGTTCTTGTTCCAACTATCAGTGCTGCAAATGATCCTGAACATCTGCTCAGCTGCAGGTGCAGAACCTGGGGCCTGTTGCTTAGTCATCAGGTTAAAATAGCTTGTGTTCATTTTCTCAGTAATATCTCGGCAACATATCAGTTTTGAAAGATCATTTGTTGGAGCTGAAGCAAGAAGTGGAAAAAGTGGAAAAGAAGCGATTCCAGGACATCACTTCTTGACAATAGCATTTAAAGTACTTTATTAATATATATATATGTATATGTGTATATATGTATGTATGTATATGTATATGTGTATATATGTAT